GGCAGATCTCTGTGAGTTCAAGGCCAGCCTGGTCTACAAAGGAAGTTCCAGAACAGCCAAGGTTACACAGAGAAACTCTGTCTCAAAAAACAAAACAACAACAACAAAAAAAACAATAAATAAATGAATGAATAAGTAAGTAAATAATACAAAAAAAATCATGAGTCTATGTGACATTCGTATCCAAGCCATATCACTGTCAGGAGATAGCTGTATCCAAGTACTCCAGAGAGCTACCTTCCTTGACCCCTCTTTAATCAGATGGAGACTCCCCAGGTGCAAAGACATTCAGCCATCTCTTTCCCAGAAACGACTTATTTCCCAGTGCCCTGGTCTCTTTTCTGTTGCTGTGACAGATGTCTGCGAGAGAAAGCAACTTAGGGGAGCAAGGGTCTGTGGTTGGCTCACAATCCCAAGTGACAGGCCAGGGCTGTGAAGAAGTCCAGGCAGGAACCGGAAGCCTCGTATCCACAGGCGAGAGCAGAGAGAGAAAGCACATGGGTCCTTGCTTGCCTGTTCTCAGCCAGCTTTCTCTTCTCTTTTATAGTTCAAGACTCCGTGCCCCAGGAATGATGCTGCCCACAGTGGCTGCGGTCTTCTCATACCAGTTGGCTTCATTAAGACAATGCACCCCCCCCTCCAAAACCTGACCTAGACAATCCCACCTTGAGGACCTCCTCTCGGGCAACTGTAGGTTGTGACAAGTTGACAGTTAAAAACTAACCATCGGCCGTTGGAGAGACGGCGCAGCAGTTTAAGGATGTATACTTCTCTTGCAGAGGACTCCAGTTTGGTATCCAGCAACCACATCAGGTGGCTGCCTGTAACTCCACAGGACCAGATGCCCTCTTCTGGCCTCCAAAAGCACTATACTTATGTGCACATATGCACACAGATAAACACATAATTGGAGATAAAAAACAAAATATTAAAAGAGCTAGCCATCACACCCAGGTAGTGATTTTATTTTACTTCCCTTTCCTGCGTCCACTGTCAGAATGTCTAGGGAAATTCTAAAAGGTGGGACTCCAGTTAGTGTGTAGGGACCGTATGTCTTCAGAGGCTCACACAGTCTTGCTGTTCTTCTCGACTTGACTTCTAGATATAACATGATTTCACCGGCAGTGAGATAGAAAATGGAAAACGATAATGGAACGCTCCTTCCTAGGGAGCTTTTGAAATGGCTCCAGCAAAGGACCTATAGTGACAAATGAAGGAGCCAGGGGACTGGGGAGATGGCATGGTCAGAAAAGTGCATGCTTAGGAAGCGTGAAGACCTGAATTAAGATCCCCTAAGACTTCACGTCAAAAGCCAAGCATGGCAGCACGCATCTGTCATTCCAGTGCTGAGGAGAGATACAGCAGGATCTCTGAGACTTGCTTGCCAGCCAGAGTGGTTGAATGGATGAATTTCAGTTTCATAAGAGACTCTGACTCAAAACATAAGGTGGATAGTCACATGATGTCACTATCTGGCCTCCACATACACACATGCGCATGCACAACTCCCATAAACATGAGCGCGCGCACGCGCACACACACACACACACACACACACACACACACACACACACACACACACACACACACAAGATAAAACATTATCCAGGAGATGGGGGTTCAAGTCCTTAACCATTGTTGCCTTTAGACAAGAGGCTTCACCTCACTGAGCCTCAGTTTCCCCATCTATAACCACAAGGATAAAAAGACACCTCAGAACTCTGCCGAGGCTTTACTCCAACATATAACCAGGTGGCCAAACATTGGTAGGAATGTGGGAAGTTGCCACCCAGCCATTTCCTCCCAGGGCAGGCTCCTTGCCATGGCACTCTGTAATGAGCAAGTGAGGTGACCCAGCCAGGTGACCCAGTGCCATTCTGGTTCTAGATGACAGTTGGATCACTGTGAGTCTTGTCTTCTTGGGTGTCTAGAGACAAGAAAGCAAGGACTGGGGACATGGCTCAACTGTGAACAGCACTGGCTCCTCTTGCAGAGGACCCAAGTTCAGTTCCCAGCGCCCATATTGGGCAGCTCACAACCACCTGTAACTTTAGCTCCACGGGACCGACCCAGATCTGATGGTCTCTTCTGGCCTCCTGAACACAGATAACATACACCTGATGGACACTCAAACACAGATAGTACACACACACACACACACACACACACACACACACACACGAGAGAGAGAGAGAGAGAGAGAGAGAGAGAGAGAGAGAGAGAGAGAGAGAGCGCTGGGGATCGTGATGGCGCTTGCCTTTAATCTTGGCATTCAGGAGGCAGATCACTATGAATTCAAGGTCAGCCTGGTCTATGTAATGAGTTCCAGGCCAACTAGGACTACATAATGAGAACCTTTGACTATATATAGACAGACAGACAGATGATTAATAGATAGATAGATAGATAGATAGATAGATAGATAGATAGATAGATAATCTACCTTAAAAAATAAAGTTGACTGTTATGGCACATTCTTGTAATGTTAGCACTGGGGAGGCAGAGACAGGAGGATCCCTGTGACTCACCTAGCTGAATTGGTGAGTTCCATGTGAACGTAAGAGACCCTGTCTCAAAAACTAAGGTGGATTCTATTGTAACAACAGCCAAGGTTTTACTCTGGCCTCCACAGATCCATATGCATGCATGCATGCATGCACGCACACGCGCGTGCGCGCACACACACACACACACACCTGCACACATATACGCATACACATATATACATAAACACACACATAAATTTAAAGAAAGAGAAAACAAATGGAGTTTGGTAGTACAACTTGTAATACCGGCTGCTAGGGAGGGGGAGGCGGGCAGATTTAAAGCAGCCCTGGACTAGAGTGAACTTCATGCCATCCTGGGCAGCGTACCAAGACCCTGTCTCAAAAAGTAAAGAGAGATGTCGCAGTGGGTGAAGGTGCTTGCCGCCAAGGTTGACAACCTGAGCTGCATTCCTGAGTCTCATGTGGCAGAAGGACAGGTGTGTGTGTGTGTGTGTGTGTGTGTGTGTGTGTGTGCATGCATAAGCCGTCCTCCAACTCTGCATGTGCACCACTGTGTATGTGCCATCCCACCCAGCCCCCAACCCCGCATGCACATGCGCATGCATACACACACACACACACACACACACACACACTAAATTAACATTAAACAAAGGAAAAGGAGGGCCGAGAGTGTGTAGCTCAGTGGTAAAGCACTTGCCTAGCATGCATGGGACCTCAGGTTCACCCCCCCACCTCAGTACTGCAAAAATACTATTAATTCATGAATGAATTAACCTCTAAGAAGTCTCAACACTGAGTATGTAAAAGAAATCTGCTGATGGCTAACTATGATATTTTAATGTAATTACAACATGTCAATTTCCCCTCAATTCATTAGCACAGCTGTTTCCTTCTAAATTAATTTCTTTAGTTGAGTGAGTGTGTGTGTGTGTGTGTGTGTGTGTGTGTGTGTGTGTGTGTGTGTGATGTGAGTGCAGGTGCCCTCAGAGTCTACAGGAGGGCATTGGATCCACTAGAGCTGGAGGTACAGGTGGTCGTGATGCAACTGATGTGGGTGTTGGGACCCAAACTTGGGTCCTTTGCAAGAACCCTATGTGTTCTTAGCCACTGAGCCACCTCTCCAGCCCCCGAAACAGTTGATTTTCAAAGTTTGGAAGAGGGATAGAATTATTTAGCTTCCCAGGAACTCCTGAGTGACTAGGAGATAAGCTTTTTTTCCCCCTCATCATTTTTTTTTTCATGAGCCCAAGAAAAATTGACCCTTCCTTGTGTCTCTCCTTTGGGTTCAGATGACGAGTTTCTTCTGTTAGCCCTTTGGCTGAAAGGGCTCCATCCTGAGCTCTTTCTGGTCAATGCATCTGAGAAGCCCAGAGCTTATCCTTTCCCAGGGATTCTGTGAAGCAGATGTAATTATCCTGACATATGTAGATGAGGGGACACAGAGGAGTTACACAGCTTGCCCAAGGTCATTCAATTAGCCAATGAACTTGGTCCAGGTTTGCTGATAGATTCGGCAGGCTCCTTCCACCAGCCCTGAGGCAGCTACCCTCCAATGAACAAAAAGACAAATTGCCACAAACCCACTCAGTCAGCCCCAGACTCAGAATGATCCCAGGAAGGACAAGGTCTGTACAAGATCTTCTGAAACTTGAAGTTTGAGCCCTATAGGGTGGTGTGTGCCATAATCTGAGAATTCTAGAGCTTGAGGTAGGGAGCTCTTGAGTTCGAATGAGTTTAAGTGGAGACCATATCTCACAGAAATGCCAAATAGCAACAACAAAATCTAACAAAAAGGATGAGGAAAAGGAGAAGGAAGAGGAGCAGGAGGAGAGGAGGAGAAGGGGAAGGAGAAGAAAAAGGAGAAGGAGGAGAAGGAGAAGGAAAAGAAAGGAGGAGGAGGAGAAGAGGAAGAAGAGGAGGAGGAGGAGGAAGAAGAGGAGGAGGGGACTAGGGCGATGGCTCTGTGTTGGCTTAAGGTGGCTGCTGTATAAGCATGAGGACCTGAGTTTTGATCCCTAGCAGTCACATAGAAGCTGGCACAGCACTACAGGTCTGTAACTCCAGCACACTGGGGAGGCAGGAAGAGGTGGGCTCTGGGAACTCAGCGGGCAGCCAACCACACTGAAACAGTGAGCTCCAGGTTCAGCGAGAGACCCTGTGCCTCACAAAATAAGAACTCAATAGAGGAAGGTGCCTAGCATCGACTTCCGGTCTCCACAGTTACAGGCGTTTGTATTCCATCCCCATGCACCTGCACGTACATGTGCACATGACCCCAACCTCTGCACACAAAAGAAAAATGAAAGAAGGAAAAAGTGAAAACAGAAACATAAGGCGGAATTCAACCACTGTGTCTTCCCTAAGGTGACCTGTTAACTTGACCCCGACTTTTTAAGCTTTGGGACAAGGCTGCTTCTCGTCCTGAAGATTGGTAACTAACTGTAGGGCATGTGGAGGCCCTGGGGAAGGCACCCAGGCGGGTGCACCCACCTCCTTCAAACTCCGTCTGGCAGTTCCCCGAGGTCTCGTTCAAGCTCTCCTCCTCATTGATAATGATGTTCTCGATGTCCTTCATCGTCAAGTGATCCCGGAAGGCGTGGTACAGGATGTGCTTCAGCTCCTCCAGAGTGACTCTCTGCATGTCAAACTGTGGAGACAAAGAACAGGAAGAGGGCTCTGAAAATGGGTGTGAGCTCAGCTGGGTTGCTGTCAGCCTGCCCAAAAGCTCCTTAAGAAACAGAGTTTCAGGATACCAGATGAGCAGTCCCCGTTGTCCGTTCTCCCCCCCCTCCCCCCAGCTCTGAGCATATGCGTGCTCTTATTGGGGACAAAGTGAGTGAAATATATCCTCCTTGATTTAGGACAGAAAGAGTAAAAAGCCACTTGCTAGTTGGATTGATCATCAACCAGCCATCTGCTGTCAACCCTCCACATTTCATGTACTATAGCATGGTGCCATACTTTAGACAGTGCATATGTTTCCAAAGTCCTATCATCTTGCAAGAAACCAGTCATTTTCATCTTGTGTTTCCACTTTGGACAATGCATATGTTTCAGGTTTTTTTTCATCATTTCCGAAGGAACCAGCAATTCCAATTTTGCTTCGAGTGTGAACTTATACATGTCTGCTGTGAGTTGAATGCGGTCTCCCTCCCCACCATCCCTCCAACAGTTATCATATTGGAAGCCTTGCGCTCGGTGTTACGGTTTTGAGATGGAGGAAACTTTAAGAAGCAGGACACAGGGCTAGAGAGATTGCTGTGTGGTTAAGAATACTTTCCATTGGTCCAGAGGACCTGAGTTTGGTTCCCAACATCTATGTTGGGCAGCACACAACTGCCTGCAACTCTAGCCAAAGCAGATCAGACTCTCTCTTCTGGTCTCCGAGAGCACATGCACACACATGGTACACATACATATATTCAGGACCACATACATACACAGATAATAAATACATATTATTATTTATAATAATAATTATAATTATTACAATAAATAAAAATTATTCAGGAGACTGAAGATGTTGCTCCAGAAGGGTGTCTTAGTTCCAAGACAGGGCTTAGTTTTCTAGCTCTCTCTCTCTCTCTTTCTCTGTATGTCTGTGCTCACATGTGCATGGATGCACACATGTGAGTTTGTGTATGTGTGTGCACCCATGCATATATACATGGGTGCACATGCATGTGGAGGCCTGACGTTGATGTCTGGAATCATCCTCCATTGCTTTTCCACCTAATTCACTGAGGAAGGATCTCTCAGTCAAACTCAGAGCTTGCCAACAGGGCTGGTCCCTTTAGCCAGCTCACTAGATGCCCTGTCTCCACATCCCCAAGTCAGAGTTACAGGTGGGTCACCATGGCAGCCGAGCATTTCCCTGGGTTCCGAGCCTCTGAACACTGGCCTTCACACTTACATGGCAAGTGCTTTAACCACTGAGCCATCCTCCCAGCCCCACGAGTGTAACTGTTGCAAAGCCTGCCCTCGAGTCATCTTCTGACTTCCTGTCTTACCATGTGATCTCTCCTGCCATTGTGATGGGATCTACCTGAAGGCCTTCATCAGGGCCAAGTGAGAGGCAGTACCATGCTCTTCCCTTTCCAAAACTTGGGCCTGTATCAATCAGTCAGTCTCTCCTCCACAAAAGGGATTTTACCAGTGATGGAAGATGACTAATATGGTATGTAACATGAATCTTAAAAGATCTTATTAGCCAGGCGGTGGTGGCGCACGCCTTTAATCCCAGCACTCAGGAGGCAGAGCCAGGCGGATCTCTGTGAGTTCGAGGCCAGCCTGGGCTACCAAGTGAGTTCCAGGAGAGGCGCAAAGCTACACAGAGAAACCCTGTCTCGAAAAACCAAAAAAAAAAAAAGATCTTATTAATAAAAACAAACCTGGAGCCAGGTATTGGGGTGAACGCTGAAAGATCAGAGAAACAGAACAAGCCACAGCTAACCTCACCTCGACAACTTCTCAGCTGATCCTGTTTCCTCAGACTGAAAGCCTCTGAGTCCTCATCTGAAATTAATCTCAGCTCAACTGCTGCTAAAAGCCTAAAACCTTAGCCAGGCTCTAGTTCCTGGTCCTCACACCTTATATACCTTTCGGCTTTTGGCCAATCACTTCCTGGGATTAAAGGCGTGAGTCACCACGCCTGGCTGTTTCCAGTGTGGCTTTGAACTCATAGAGATCCGGATGGATCTCTGCCTGCCAAGTGATAGGATTAAAGGCGTGAGTGCCACCATTTTCTGGCCTCTATGTCTACCTAGTGGCTGTTCTGTTCTCTGACCCCAGATAAGTTTGTTAGTGTTCACAATATATTGGGGGACCCCATATCACCACAATGGTAGATTCGTTATTTTTCTCATTCCTAAGGAAGCACTGGCATATTTGAGCTCACAGTTCAAAACGATACAGTCCGCCAAGGTGGGGAAGACGTGGCTGCCGCGGGAACTGGGGGCAGCCTGCCACATTGCGTCGGGAAGCAGAGAGATGAAGGCAGGTGCTCATCAATTTTTCCATTGTATTCAGTCCACGACCTCAGCCCACGGGATGTAAGGTGGATTTACCTCCATCGGCTAACCTAATCCGGAAACTTCCTCCCAGACATGCTCCAGGGGCATGTGTGTGTGTGTTCTGTGTGATTCTAGGTCCTATCGAGCTGACGGTCGAAGGTTAACCATCACACCAAGGGGGGAACACGGGAGCCCATGACTGAAAGGAGTCCACACAGACACGGAAAGCCAAATCTTGGGCATTTTTTCCTCTCCTTCCTGTCTTTTCAAGCATTTTAGAAGTTTGCACCTCGTTCTGGGAAATTAAATTGAGCTACTGCAACTTGCTGGGAAAATGGAGACGATTCGAGTCGGAAGCCCGGCATGAGTCAGAGCAAAAGATGGGCATTCATATATGGGCTGTGTTGTCTGCACTATAGTTTAATGGCCCTGAGAGTGACTTTGGCACAAAGCTAGGTACAGTGTCCCTTCACATTGGATAAACGAGGAGTGTAACCCATGTGTAGGAATGAGGCACAAAGAACGCAGAGGAGAATGATTCTGATACAAAATGGGGATCCTGGCCTAGTTAGGTTTAACTGTCAACTTGACATAGCCTAGAGTCTCCTGAGAAGGGAGTCTCAATGGAGGGATGGTCCAGATCAGATGGGCCTGTGGGCACGTCTGTGGGGGTTGTCTTGATTGTTAATTGATGATGATGATGATGATGATGATGATGGTGGTGGTGGGTGGTGATGGTGATGATGGTGATGATGGTGATGATGGTGATAATGGTGATGATGTGTGCAAGTGTGCACGTGTGCAGAACGCTGTAGGTGGTACCATTCCATGGCTAGGTAGCCCTGGGCTGTATAAGAAAGCTAGTTGAGCATGAGCCTGTAAGGAAGCCAGGAGGTAGCACTCCTCCATGACTTCTGCTCCCAGATTCCTGCCCTGACTCCTCAGTGAGTGACAGTGACCTGGAAGTATAAGCCAGATTAACCCTTTCCTATCCAAGCAGCTTTCAGTCAGAGCGTTTTATCAGGGCAACACAATAAAGTCAGAACATATCCTCTGCCATGGTCAGAGATGAAGAATGTTGACGTCAAATAGATTCCTCGGGGGGAAAAGTGAGTCACTGCTACTTGGAAGACCGATAACAAGAGATGGAGTGCTGCCTGGAAAAATACTATACCACTTTAAGAGCTTTCTACCATTTAGAAACTAGGTGAAAGGATTGACTAGAGGCTAGGAAATAGAGATATAGGTTCCTTGCCTCCATTGTTTTGGCTGTTTGAGCCTTTTTTTTTTTTTTTTTTTTTTTTGACAGGTTTCTCTGTATAGCCCTGGCTGTCCTGGACCAGGCTGGTCTTGAACTCACAGAGATCTGCCTGCCTCTGCCTCCCCAGTGCTGGGGTTATCATCATTAGAAAATACTGTGACAAGCTGGACAGTGATGACGTACATCTTTAATCCCAGCACTGGGGAGGCAGAGGCAGGCAGAACTCTGTGAGTTTGAGGACAGCCAGGGCTGCAGAGAAAATCCCTGTCTAGAAAAAAACACAAAACAAAACAAACAAAATATACTGTGGCTTTGTAGCTCAAATGTCCCCAGTGGCAATGGGTAGAAGACTTGGTCCCAGGCTGCTGGTGATGTTGAGAACAGCCTGGATCACGAAGGTGCTGATTTCATCACTGGATTTATCCATTAATGAGTCCACAGCTGAATGGGCCATTAGGAGGTGGGTCCTGCTTGGTAGGTCACTGAGAGTGTGTCTTTCAAGACCTTAGACTCTCCTCCGTGTGTCTGTCTTTCTGTTTCTTTTTTTTTCTTTCAGTCTCTGTGCCCCCCCACCCTCTCTCTGTCTTCCCATCTCCATCTCTGTTCCTTGTTCTTTCTCTGTGTCTGTATTTACCTTTGTTTCTCTCTGTCTCTGACTCTGTCTCTCCCTGTCTCTCTGTCTCTTCTCTCTCTCTCCTGGCCATCACGAGGTGAGCAATTTTCATCTACCACTACATATTCCCCACCACGATCAGCTCATCTCCCCTCAACCAGGAAAGTACTAAAAGATATTTCACTAGAGGCCACTGGAGATTGACCCCACCTCCTGTGTCCATTCTCTTGGTGACACTAAAAAGGTTAACTTCATACTTGCTTCTACTTAGGATTTAAATTACCATATAAAAAGTTAGCAGAGTCTGGGCTTTGGTGAGGTCCAGTAGGAAAAAACAACTTCTTTCTGGTCAAAAGAATGAGATGTGGATGCTGGGGGAAAGGCTCAGCTGTTAACCACGTACACACTACATTTACACAGCACCCCTGTGAGGAGGTTCCAGCTGCTGGGGAGTTGATGCCCTCTTCTGTCCTCTGCTGGTACTGCACTCAAGTGCATACACATACACACAACTAAAAATAAAAATCAGTATTAATTAAAAAAAATGAAATCTACTTCTGACCCTGACTAGAGTCTTTATTTTGAAGCTATCCAAATTATTACACGCTACTGTATCCTTTCTTTTGTTTTTGTTTTTGAGACAGGGTTTCTCTGTGGAGCTTTTGTGCCTTTCCTGGAACTTACTCTGTAGCCCAGGCTGGCCTTGAACTCACAGAGAACCACCTGGCTCTGCCTCCCAAGTGCCGGGATTAAAGGCATGC